AGAGAGACAGAGAGACAGAAAGCGAGAAATCACCCCCCAGGGGGGATGGCCACGACACAATCCTTTCTCCTCCATTCTCCTCTCGGGATCTTGGACATGCACACACATGCGCCTGGCATGAGTTTAAGCCACCAGGTCCAGGACGTGAACGGTCAACTACATGGGAGTCCAGCGACATAGCCATTGCGCTAACTGCTGGTCCCTCCATCATGATTTTCAAGCTGCCAGGTCCGGGACTCAAACTGTGGTTGGCCTTGTGGTAGTCCAGTGCTTTAATCACCATGCCACCTGCTGGTCCCAGTTTACTGAATATTTTAAGCCCAGTGTTGAGACTCACTGGTCAGTAAAAAAAAAAAGATTCCTGTCTACAAACACAACATCCTTTCTGTAGCCCATGGATCAAGAGTCATTTCAATGTTCAAGCCTTATTACTTAAGAAATGCATTTTTTTAGAGGTTTTTTTTTGCTATAGGGCACGTGCACTCACCAGAAGGACAGAGAGACAGAAAGTGGCAAATCACCCCCCAAGGGTGATGGCCATGCTGCAATCCCTTCTCCTCCATTTTCCTCTCGGGATCTTGGGCACACACGCACACGCGCCCAGCGTGAGTTTAAGCCACCAAGTCCGGAACTCGAACCACAGTTGGCTACATGGGAGTCCAGCGACATAGCCATTAAGCTAACTGCTGGTCCCAAGAAATGCATTTTTGTTCTGTTTTGTTTTTGGAGAGGTTTTTGCTATAGGGCATGTGCGCTCACCAGACAGACAGAGAGAGACAGAGAAACAGAAAGCGAGAAATCACCCCCCAGGTGGGATGGCCACGCTACAATCCCTTCTCCATTCTCCTCTCGGGATCTTGGGCACACACGCACACGCGCCCAGCGTGAGTTTAAGCCACCAAGTCCGGAACTCGAACCACAGTTGGCTACATGGGAGTCCAGCGACATAGCCATTACACTAACTGCTGGTCCCCCAAGAAATGCATTTTTAAGGCAACAGCTGACGTAGATAGTGATTCCTCTGAGGGATCTGTGCACAGCGAATTGAAAACCTTCTGTGAAGGAGTCACCATTCTGTTGATAGATGCCATTGACAACATTCATGATTCACAGCAGGAGATCAAAACATCAACATTAAGAGGAGTTTGGAAGAACCCTCATGATGGCTTTGAGGTGTTTAAGACATCTGTGAGGAGGTAACAGTAGCTATGGTGGGAATAGCAAGGGAACTAGAAGTGGAGCCTGAAGACGGGACTGAATTGCTGCAACTGCATGGTCAAACTTTGGAAAGTTTGATCACATTTCACCCATAAGTTGTTTCTTACGGATGAGCAAAGAAGATGGCTCTTGATGGAATCTATGCCTCATGAAAATACTGGGAAAGTTGCTGAAGTAATTTAAAAAGGGCTTAGAATATCATATAAACTTGATAAAGTAGCAGCTGGGTTTGAGAGGATTGACTCCAAACTTAAACTAAGTTCGACTGTTGGCAAAATGCCATCAAGCAGCACTGCATGCCACAGAGAAATCTCTCGTGAAAGGAAGAGTCAGTAGATGTGGCACATTTCACTGTTGTCTTATTTCAGGAAATTCCATAGCTATTCCGACCTTCAGCAACTACCCCCATCAGTCGGCAGCCAACAACAGCAAGGAAGACTCCACCAGCAAAAAGTTTATAACTCTTAGGGCCAGCAAGGGTCTCTGGACTCCCACATAGTCAACCATGGTTCAAGGCCTAGACCCAGCAGCTTAAAACTCACACCAAGTGAATGTGCATGTGTGCCCAAAATCCTGAAAGGAGACTGGAGGAGAAGGGATTGCATCATGGCCATCACCCCTGGTGGTGATTTCTCACTTTCCTTCTCTCTGTCTCTCTCTGTCTCTCCTGCGAGCGCACACACCCTATAGCAAAGATCTCTCTCAAAAAATAAATAAAGATTACAATTCTTTAAAGGCATTTTTTGGCAATAAAGTTTTTTGTCATTTTTTACAGTTTTGCTATAGGGTATGTGTGCTCACTAGAGAGAAACAGAGAAAGCAAAAAAATCCCTCAAGGGTGATGGCCGTGCCACAATCCCTTCCCTTCCAGTCTCCTCTTGGGATTTTGGGCACACACACATATGTACTTGGTGTGTTTTTCAAGCAACCTGGTCTGGGACTCAAACTGCTCAGCTGGCCACGTGAGATCTAGCTGTCCCAATCTCTGCTCCACCATCTGCTGACCCATAATAAAGTATTTTAAATTAAGGTATGTGTATATTTATATTTTTAGACACAATGCTGTTGTGCCTAAAAATGGACTACAATATAGTGTAAACACAACTTTTAAATGCACTGGGAAAAGTCTTTCCAAGATTTATAACATAATACTTTCAACGGGCATGAAGCTTGTTTAACTTTTAATGCCAATGTTTCCAAATATCATTTCACATCTCACGGCAATACCTATTATTATCTTGAGGAACATTCCGGAGGACACTATGTACAGAATAATGCTGTAGAGGAAACTGGGGGACTGGAGGGGAGCCCAGGCTTTGAACTCCAACAGACTTCAATTCAAATACTAACTCTGGCACAAATCAGCTGTGTGTCCCTGGGCAAATTGCTTATTACTTATTTAAACCTTTTCTTTATTTATGATAGAGTACACGTATGTATGAGAGAATGAAGGAAAGAGAGAGACACACCCTCCACAGGGTCTGGGCATGCCATAATCCCTACCTCTAGTCCCGCCGCTTGTCAGATCTTGGGCACTTGCACACATGCATGAAGGGTTTCAGGCTGGGGTGGCCGGGATTTGAACTGTGGCTACCATGTGGCTTCCAGCACAGTAGTTTAGCATGCAACTGGCTGTACCAACAGGCTGGGCCTTATTACTTCTTTTAAATAAAGGTTGCAAAATATACGTTGCAGCACCACTGTAAGACTTCAAACTAATATGAGAAGACTTCCAAAAGTTTGTGGAAAAAATGGAATTAAAGTATATTTTAGAACAAAAACTTTTTAAATCTATGCATAGTTTTTTTCCATGATACATATTTCTAATAGACTTTTTGAAGACCTTCGTATATACAAAGATCCTATTTCAGTGTTTCAAATGTAGTAGGCACTCAAAAAAGCGGTGCATGTGAAACTAATACACCACATTATACTAACATTTCATCACTGAGGCCTCCTTCAAACCTTGTAAAGTGGACATGGAGATATTCACAGGCTCTAACTGTAAACATGACTGATTTATTTCATATTCCAAAACTTCCAATATAATCACACTGGGTTTTCTTTTTCTTTTTTAAGAGAGATTTTTGCTATAGGGCACATGCACTCGTAGGAGAGACAGAAAGTGAGAAATCACCCCCTGGGGGGATGTCCATGCTGCAATCCCTTCTCTTCCACTCTCCTCTTGATTTTGGGTATTTGGACATGCACGCACACACACCTGGTGTGAATGTTAAGCTACCAGGTCCAGGACTCGAACCATGGTCAGCCACATGGGAGTCCAGCAACATAACCATTACTCCATCTGCTGGTCCCAGCATTGTGTTTTCAAAGTGTTTCACTAAACTAAAAAATACCTGCTTCAATTTGTATATCATGAGTTATTCTTAGGGATTATGAACAAT